TTCCGGCCGTTAAACCCTAGCTCCGGACAAACCGATTTCAGGGTGATAGACCGTTAAGAAGAAAAGAGAACTCTGCCCGGGGCCCCCGCCGTCGTCTCCGCGTTCAGTTGCGTTGCCGCGCAAAACCAAACCTCGATCAAAAGTGCAACGGTATTGTAGCAGCGTCTGTGTTTCCTGGAATAGTCCGTAGTATGTGTGATGTATACGTACTTGCCACGGTACAGAGACATCAAGACAGGACAGTTTGACGCCATGTGCCATGACTATCCAATTACGTACAGCACACACACACACACTCTCTCTCTGATTAATGCTGGGGCATTTGGATATGGGGAAATGGGGAAGAAATCACCGCAATATTGGATGGGGGTGGGAAATGAATCGGTGACGTGCAAACTGCAAAGTCACTTTGCGGGCCAAGGAAAAAAACGAGGCAGGATTTGTGCAGTGCGGGCCGCGCATACGATGCGGGATATTGGGGTCCCATTCACGCGCCGTATGCGTGTGCAGCTTGTGCGGTGTGCCCGCGGTGTATAATACGTACTATGTATATCCTCATTTGCGCTTGAGCCTGACTTGACCGACTCGACTGGCGTCCATCAAATGCCTCACCCACGGGAGTCAAGAGACGCCACTTGGCTCGTTCTGGCCGTGCCTCGGGGAGTACCTGATTTGTCTTGGCTTGTGTGTGGTGAGAATGGAAGCGCTACGGATACGTCAACCTGCCTAGTTCTCGCATCTCGGCACGCAAGGCAGAGAGTAGGATGCAGTGTGTATTCGTAGTCTCGAAGAGATACGGCCAGCATGGCAGTCGGAGGCGAGATGACGATGGGTGATGGTTCCAGACGGAGCTGGATGGATGATTGCTGTTCAATGTGGCAAGTCGGCCGGCCCGTAGACCGGTCACTCCTGTCGACGAACCCCGTTCCAACGAGGTTTCCACGACTCCTACTCCGTACACGGATACCGTCGCCCCAACGACTCGACGAGCGAGCGGAAGTGAGAACTCGACTAGTCAGTGGGAAACCGAAAAGACGCCATTGGACCAACGTGGCCAAAAGCGAGATTTGTGCGAGCGAGACCCGTTGGACGATCCGTGTCCAATCTCTGGCGTTACACGCTGCAAAAGTCGCGCTCCGCTACTGCTTGTCCTTTGCTGCTTGCCTGGGAGGAGCCACAACGTCCCAAGCCAAGCCTGGAGCCAGCCTGTAGGAGCAGGCGAGTCCTGACTTTTCCGACTCAGGGACATCGTGCATTGGCGTGTGCGGCATCGAAGGAAAACCGTTCGCGCAATGCATTGCTGGCGCCCATTTCTTTGCCATGGATGGGGGCACCACTGGCCACTGGCACACTGGGTGGGCACCGGTTCGGTTCCATTGGAGATGCCTGCCACGATAGGAAAACACTAGCAACAGCGCTAGAATGAAAAGAAGAGGAGTTCCTGGGGCAGCGAGCTGACGAGGAGGGTCCCCTTGCTCCAATGACAGGGCCCCTGCAGAGCCCCAGGGAACCCACCCGATCCCCATCAATCCTCTCGATCGAGCAGGGGTTCAGGAGCTTCAGTTGCCGTGGGGTTTCTCTTTTGACGTGCTGCGAGGTGCAGATACGCGGGCTGTGGCCGAGCCTCTGCAAATTCACTTTTCGCTCGCTCTTTTTTCGCTGTGTTGCCTGTTTCCTTGCTGCTTTGCTCTGCTTTCCGCTTCCCTTTCGTCCTTCTCTTGGCTCTTGTGTCTCACCGTCTCTACCCATTGGTGCCCAGTCCTCCCGTCTGGGAAGTTAATCTTCGTCCGACCTTTGCTTCTTTCTCTTGTCGATTGCGGCTGTGAAAGTCCCATTGGTGTGCTGGACATGCAGGAGGGAGGGTGGTCGGGAGAGTTTATGGGAATCGTCATCGCTGAGATACGCGCCAAAGTTTGACAATGGTAACAGAACACCCAACCATTGGGGTTTTTGGTGTGTCTGATCAGAACTTGAGAACAGACAATCGAGGCCAACAACAGTAAGAAGAGGCTGGCTTGCTGGCTTCAGCTTCAGCCAAGCCTCCAACCAGAAGTTGCCAAGACATGGCGGGACTGGGCCCCGGAAGTCTGTTTCTCTGGCTGGCACTCGCTGTCGCTGCCGTTCTCTTCCTTTCTGTCATTCCTTTTTGAGTATTCTCTGACCGTTCTGTCGCTGGATAGAGTGATGCTATTGAGCTTCCTTGACGAACGTGGAAACTCCCATCCAACCTTCGGTGCATTGGGAGAGAAAGTCCCGCAGTCTCGGTGCAGTAGCCGTGTGGGCGGGAATTTTCGACACACGACAAACACGGCAATTTTGCGGAGCCCTGGCAGGCTAGTTAGCCCACCTTTGACCTGCCAATGCATGTCAATGAATATCCGAGCCGTCATTGGTTGGGATCGGTGAAGAAGAAGACGGGATGGGATTGGATTGGCAGCACTGGGTCAAATGGATCGGTGGATCAATCTTCTGCAACTGTGGGTACTGCGGAATTGTCCAGGTTGTGGGCACAATTCAGGTACGGATACCCATGCAATGTCGGCAATTAGACGTTTCTCCATTCTGGTCTCTCCTGTCTCTATGGGTGTGTCTTTCTCTTTCTCTTTCTCTCTCACTCACCCTCTCTCTCTCTGTCTCTGTCTCACCCTCCCTCCCTCTCTTCGGAATGCGAAGGGTGGCATGGGACGGAACGGGGATGCTGTTCCTTTCCTTCTTCACCTTGCTGCGCTGCGGGAATCATCGTCGTAATTGAGTTGAAACAGTCAACACTGTGCAACACTGTGGAAGATCAAACATCCAAGGAATCCGATGAGACGAATTGGGACTCTGCAAGTGTGCGTCTGTGGGGGTTCCCTCTCTTTTTTCTAGGTTGCCTTGAACCTCCTTCGTGGTAACCGTAGCGTTGTGTGGTGCAGGGATTGGTAGAAGCTTTGGTCAAGACCGACTCTCGCGTCGCACGACCAGGATGGACTCGGAAACATTCGCTTGGCGCGCGATCCGTGGTGTGTGTTCAACTCGGGAGGAAGATAAGGGAACGACACTTTTTCCTCGATTTTTTTTAGGCCGTGCCTTGTTTGGCCCGGGCTTGGGAAGTTGGGCCCAGATTAGCCGTCGGCGTGCCTGGCCGGTCTTCTCTCGGGTTTTGTTTTTTTCTTTTGGGCACGATATTTTCCCTATCTTTCTCGATCTCGGGGCTCGCTTGACAAAGTAATCTTAAGAGCAGCCAAGCCTAACCCGGACTCTCTGTTCTTGGTGTGGATGGATCGTGGATGGGCTGCGGATGGACTCAGCTTCGGTTCCGACGAAGGAGAAGACGGGACCGAAATGGCATTGCCAACAGAGTATCCATACGGGCCCGAGAAACCAAGGAAATCAAAGGCTCAGTGTTCGGGAAAGCTTGCTCTCTCGCTGTCTCTTGGCTTAAACCCGATCCTGCAGCTCGCGTCATTACCGAGATGCGAACTTTAGGGTCCTGCCGTGTCTGCTTACCCAAGGGAGCCTAGCGCCCATCTCGGTTCTCTCCTTCCTTTTGATGCAGTTTTTATGGGAAAAGGTTGGAAAGAAATAGTGGACCAAGACATAACCACTTGACCATTTGACCCAAGCCTCACTTGCCAAGATTACTCTAATAAAATAGAAAAGCTGGGGGAAATCGGAGCAGCAGGCCGAGTTTACGAAAGCCATACCGAAGGCAGACAGGCAACTCCGTGACAAACGATGATGGGAAGTCAGATCTCAAAAATTACGCAACGTCCTCTTGCTCAATGCCAACAAACATTCAATGGGGCGTAAGCCCGGCCCAACCTCAAAGGCACAGGTGGACTTGAACATTAAGGTATGTTGATTGAGGCTGAGCAATTAAACTCTAGCCTCAAGTGAGAGACCTCCTACTCTGCCAAGTCGTGAGCTTGGACTGTCCGCGGTAGACTGAACACTTTCGTCGTCATAATCGAAGTCAATTAACCCGAGCGACCGGTGGCGCCTATCAAGGATCGGGCGGCTCTTCCGACTGCGTCGTTGTAACTTGTAAGCCCTGCACTTTGAACAAGGTGCCCTGTCTTCGGATGGCTTGTGCGTACGGCGTGCCCAAGTACGGATTCGAGGCTGCGGGATGCAAGATAAGAACCAACGACAAATTGCTTTGTGCAACAAGGGGTCCCTTGTACGGGTACTCTGAGTCTCTGTCTCTTGCGCAGTGCCACAGTATGCCGCTCTGTTGGTTCGAGTCGTCCCTCCCTCGACCCTGGTCCCCCGTGGCTGACGAAGAGTGTAAGACAAAGAACGCCATAACCCAGATAATACGAACACACATGGAAGGCACAAAGGGAGAAGATATGGGAAAAGTCAATGTCCGGCGACGGCGACGGCGGCTGTGGGCGGGAGAAGGTTCAACGACAACGTTCTTGCATCTGCAGATCTCTTGGCATACAATGACGAGACACCGCGGCCACGTCGGATATTCCTGTTGTTTACCATCTAGGACTCTGTGGTGGAAAGATGGCCGGCACTCCGAACAGCAGGCGCATCGTCCTGTACCTAGCCTGTAGGTCACTTCCTGTCAATCTTTTCCATCACTCACCTGCCTTCCTTCCTTCCTGCATCACCTGCCTTCCTTTTTGCATCACCTGCCTCACCTGCCGTGCCTGCCGTGCCTGCCGTGCCTGCCATCCATGCCTGCCTCGCCTGTGGCGATCTGCGAAAGCTGCGGCAGCCGGGCTGGGCTGGACTTGGCTCCGTGTCGGAGAAACTTCATCACTTTCCAACCTGCCAGCAACATCCAACCACGACACCATCACAGACTTCAAAGCCACGGTCGAAACGTAAGCTCGCAAGTGTCGTAGTCAATGTCAAGTCACACAGCCTCTTGAGCCTCCTTTCTCTTGGCGTTCTCTCTCCCTCTCACTCTGCCTCCTCATCACCCCGGTATGGTCCAACCGGAACCCCTACACCACCAATGGCACATCACGACAAAAATACACCAGGTACACACCTACCTCACCGCACACCGCACGCACCGCACACTATCCGTACACACTACACACAAGCACTACGCCACCAAACGCCAACACTGGCGGCGCACCACTGTCACTCTACAGCGGCGGATGTGCCCGTCGACATGATGCCCGCCCTAGTACAGCCGATGCCTGCAGATCGGCCACTAAAGGCTTGTATCTGTTCGATGGCGTACTGTCTTCTGTGCCCATAACTTGCAAGTGTCAACATTACCCGTCCACCACCACGCCCCCCAGCCACCCTACACCCTTCCCTTTGCTTTGGGGGCGCAAGTCGCGGGAAGCATACAGGAATCGTCTGTGCCTGGCCTGGCCCTGGCCTTGAGTCCTGGGCGAGAGCGAGAGGAAACGTCGTAGGAGCGTACCTACATTGTAAGTGTTGTGTCAAAGCATGTCGCGCTTGTTCGTCCGTCGTCCAAGATCGCCAAATGTTGCCGCAACCCTCCCACACCCCACGTTCCCTTCTCTAAGTCTCTAGGGATACGACCCTAGAAGATACCGATTGAGATACGACTGTCGCCGAGGTCGATGCGACCGTCTCGTTTTTGTGAGGGTTGCACACACACAGTCAAGGTACACACGCGCAACGTCGCGGCCGATGAGCGAACCCCAGAGTTCCTGCATGTCACGGCCAGTCAAGGGTTCAACAAGTCTCCTAGCGTCCGCAAAACGCACAGCTCGCCTCAAAGACGTATTAATTAGTATGTACCATACGTGTAGTATGTGGTCGGGTCGGGTTGGTGCGCAACGGGTAAGGTACTACGGATACACGGCGGCGGTAGGTGAATGTAACCCTCCACGTTGGAAACGCGGGCCCCTCGTCCAAACAGGACGGAGCTGCCTCTGCACCTGGAAAAACGCCGTAGAGTTGTGGAGCACCCTAGACTTGTTAGGACGATACGACGATGGGTTATTTGGCTCATACTGACAGCTGTAGGCGTCTATTCACCAGCAAGGTGTGCATAGCACAACGATTGTGGCGGTCTGGGAGTCGGAAAAGGGCCGACGGCGTGGCGTCCTCGTCTCCTCTTAACTCTTACTGTGTAGATTTTCGAGATCATGCAGCAAGAAGCAGCAAGAAGCAGCCACACCAGCACCAGCGCCAGCGTCAGCAGATGGGATGTCAGGTCTCGAGCCTAACCATTCCAGACCAGACCATGTACCGAATGCATCAAGCTTCTATTTCCAACGTGGTTCCCGTCGAGGTCAGGGCAGATGGCAGATGCAACCGCCAGAGTTCCGTCGCGTTGCATTATTCCATCTCGTCATCAGGAAAAAGTCAACGTCCATGTCTAGCCACCTCTCTTCACTTTGGCTGAAACCAGGCGAACGACCTCGATCCAAAACAACCCCCAGAGCTCCATACGCTAAGCCGTCAGCCGTCCTACTGTGTATGGTCCTACGGCGGCGAGGGCGTTTGCTATCCTCGTCCAGGTCCTCGTTCTCAGCTTGAATCGGCTCTTCCACTCCACTCCCAGCCACTGGAGACCCTGCTTTCTGCTCATAAAAATGGCCCACTTTTACTTTTACTTTATTCCCTTCGCTTCCCTTTGCCTTGAGTCTCTTCGCGCTATGCTGATTCGTGACGTGGGGTTTCCCAAAAACGGCGCGTCGTCAAACAGGTTCCCATCAAATACCCAGTCCCAGTCTGACGGAGTACACTACAAACCAGGGGCCCCTCTCCGGCGTCCTGTCCCGTCTTTGTCGTAGTCGTCGTCGTCGTCGTCCTTGTCGTCGTCCTCGTCGCCGTGCGCCCCTCCATCCGAGGAAGAGCCCCCCTTCCCTAAAATTGGGCATGGGCCGAATCGTTTTAGTGCAACAATGTGAACTCCATCCCGTTCCTCCTCGGTTCCTTCACACTACGGATAGTGGTCCCTGTGGATATGGGGGCTAATCGCGCCGATGGATATCTCACTCTCTTCGTGTCCTCGGTATCCATTCCTGGCAGTTCCATGCTTTCCCAGCTGTGTCCTGGCCAATGACACGCCTCGGATCAGGTCATATCTGCTTTTCCTTTAATGAATAAAAAATGATTAATACAAACAAAGTAAGGGCGAACCCGCCCGCCCCATCTCCTTGCCATCTCCGTACCTCGGGACCGCACCGGCGGGCGTGCCGCGTGCGTATGGTTCAAGTACCGTAGTTTGCGCGAATGACGACGTGCGTGCTATCCCCGGGCGGCGGTCGGCGCGAATTGAGCGCCGGGCTGGCCATGCCGCAGCGCAGAAATACCCGCTGCTACTAAGCCAGAAGAGACGGCAACCCGCGGATCCTGGCCGCCTCATTTTTTTTTTTTTTTTCGGAGAGATTGTGATTTGCCCACACGCACATCTCCGCGTATGCGCGCACCATGGTCCATCAATGAGGCTTCACGATTACACGACTCACGAGGGACGTTACCCTTTACGAAGCTCCAGTTTCTCCTCCATCTCTTTCCTTCCCCATCGTTCTTCCCCAGTATTTCTCAACGCCGGTCCCATTTTGTTTGGAGCACCAACAATGACCAGGCCATCTATGACCCGCGATTTCCAGGCTTCCAGCAGGTTCCTGGTCTTCTCGAGCTCCTCCAACTCAACCAACCAGGCTGAACCTTTGGTGGCCCCAGCAAATGACTGAGGCCGGTATTCGCAGTGATCGGCTGGTTTCCATTTTGAACAAGGCCCCCAGCGGCTGACCACTTACCTGTCACTCCTGTTACCAAGCGTTCCAAGAGAGAAATAAATAAAATAAAAACCC